CAAGTCCTCCTTCTTCTATAAACCCTAATCTTACATAATATCATAAATATCTTAACCCTAAACTTATTTAGGTCTCTCATCCATTTAAAATGCTTGAATCACATCATAAACTTGTTATCTAACAATTAAATGAATTACATCACATTCCACATCATTTTTCCTTCAATGGCCAAATGTTTACATGCATAAAACATCAAGCTTTCACACTTTAAATTTACTATTTAATTAGTCTAATCAACTTCCAATGGGTAGGAACACAATTAACCAACAAAATAATCCATAGAAACATGAATTTTCCAACATAAATAGTTTGTACTAATAAATACATGAAAAATCCATTTTTGATCCAATTGCCCTGAATTTTTTATGTTATAATAGATATGTGTACCTTTAATTTTCAATAAACCACACTCAATTAGGAGTTCTACAACTCCAGATATAAACCTTACAAGACACGGGAAGATTTGATGTCTATTAGGGTTTCACGAATTTTTACAACTTCAAATGAATCAAACTTAATTCAATCAACTCCATGAACATCAAATACCATGAATACACATAAAAACACAATATAAAAACATGATTTAACATCATCCATATTCAGCCATGTTCAAGAGAAAACCCTAAAATCATAACTTGAAAAATAACCATTTAAACTTGAGTTTATTGACACCAATGCACTCCAAATCACCTAGAGATCATTCTCCAAGCTTCAAACCATGAAAACACTCAACTTTAGACCCATTAACAGTACCTAGGTCATGGCATTCAAGAGGATAAATCAAGAGATTGAAAGCTTTTAAAAAGAAACTAAAATCATAGATAGGTTCCTAAGGTTATAAGGAATATTTCTTGTGAAATAGTCATGATGTCTTTATGAGGTTTTCTATGAGATATAATCTCCTAAAGCTCTTGAATGGTGGCTGGAATTTTGTGGAAGATGAAGATAAATAAAAAAGAAAACAACCTAGAAACACTTTAAAGATATTTTAGCCACTTTTGTTGACTTCCTAACCAATTAAATTGAATAACTTGCTAACCAATCTTCCTTCCCTTGTAAGTAGGTCGGCCAATGAGTAATTGGAGGAGGAAAAACTGATATAGGTGCTTAAAGTATCAAAGTAACTTAGCCGTTAAGCTTACTTTGTTAACTAGTCATCACTTTGACTTATAAAGCTTCTTATTGGTTGTTTTTATTAGAACTTTGACCTAATTTTAATAATTAATCCAATCGTAATTAGACTAATTTAAGACCACTTTAAACCCATAAAATTCTCTAAAGAATTTAATATATCACCCAAATCAAGTTTAGAACTAATTTTTCTTATTTGCAAAATGGTCCCAATACATATTTGTACTTTGACCCATAAATTTTTCTAATATTTTCCTTTGAATCCTAATTGACTTGCTTAACATGAATTGTATCCTTGTATATTTTATCATCTCAATTTCATGATCAATTGATCATTTCTTGACACAACTTGACACAATTTCCTTGAACTCAAATTGATCTCTTGAACAACTTGCTTGATTTTCTTATTTGACCTAACTTGATAGTTAGAGGTGTTATAAAATGCACATATTATTCTTCGAAACTAGCTTCAATAATACAAGCACAATCAAAACATATTAAAAGATTGAAGTTAGTTTTACAATCAAAACATATTCAACATTAAAATTAATAACTCAATTTAAGCAAAAGCTTATTTGGATGGTTTTTTTTTTACTTATTTTGGTTGTTGGGGCAATAGCCCCAAAACAATAAGAAAAATAAATTAAATAAATAACAGGTTATCTACTCACAGATGATAGATCCACTAGAAAAATTAAATTAAGACCCGTCAAGTAAGATTTTAGGGAATAATTAACAAATGATATATCCGCTATAAACATTAAATTAAGACTCGTCGAGTAAGATCTTCGGGGATAATTAACAAGCCAATCTGCACATTGATTTCTCTCCCTGTAAATGTGTTGGAGCTTCACATATCAATCTTTTCTTAGTCAAGCTCGGTGTGAATATTTTCTCTTTCCGTCTCTTTGATGAAGACAAGTGCACTAGCCTTGTGTCTTATATTTCATTATTTCATTTAACTCATTTTCCCCTTGACATTTTCTAGTGTTTGAATTAGTGGTCCGAATACTTTATGATTGGTCAGTGAATACAACAAACTTCGTATTGCTTCTTTCCAATTTAGTCAATTAGCTCAACGTCGACGTTCTTCTACAATTTGAGGATCAAGGTCATTATCATTAACATTTTTAGAAGCAATTACATATATAAAAATATGGATTTATTATTCTTATGTTGCAGGAAGAGAAAATCTCTCTTGCAACATCGAAATCTAATATTTTAATATTTTAATATTTTATCTTGAGTTTCTCTTTCCTCTTTTATTTGATTAAAATATTTGGGCTAGTTGTTGTATGAGAGATTTTATCTTCCTGCAACATAAGAGTAATAGAGCCCATTAAAATATCATCGCAATAACTTTAAATTTTCAAATTTTAATGAGATCTCATAATTTTTTTATTATGAGAACCATTTTATGGATTGTTTTTTTAGAAATATGAAGTTGTCAATTTATACAAGAAATATCTTTGACCTCTTATAGATTGTCACTTTGAAATTTATTTCTTTTTGTCAAGGAATAATATCATTTGCATACTTTAAATTCACTAGTTATCATAAAGGGACAATTAATCACAAGAATATTTACAACTTATATATATGATTTAGTTAATTTTTGGGTATTTGTAAAAATATATGACAATTGGCTTGCAATATTTTGCAAATAAATTATTGTTTGAGTTTTAAGTTCACATTATTTGGACAAACATATGGAGTGGACAATGTTACAACAAATGTTTTTTTGTGCTTCCGACCCTTTACCTTTTTTCATTTAATGACAGAAAAAATATTCATCAAAATAATAATTTAAAAATTTTGGTTCTAAAGATATCCCCACTAAACGTTAAATATATATATAATGATAGATGGACTATTGCAAGTTAAAAAAAAATCCAAATGGATTTTTCTTATTCTCATATTATGATAATGAAAGATATTAAAATAATTATAATAAAATCTATCATTATTTATGTCAGATAATTAAACTTAATTTTTTTTTTTTTTGGTATCCTAATTAAACTTATTTTATGTTACACATGTTACAACAACAAAAAAACTCGGAGATTCCTCCTCATATATCCGGCCAATAATTTTGTAAGCAACATTTTGATTATCAAAGGTTAATTTAAACACATACAAAATAAACTAATACTTATAAAAACTTCATTGAAACAATTAGATCGATGAATTCTAACGTTTATAGAAAGGGAAAAGTATTCGTCATTTTAAAGAGAGTTATGTTATTTTAAAAGAGATACAGATACAGAAAATTTAAATTTTAAATTTAAAATAACCACCTACTTTCTCTCTCCTATGGTTTCCGTTTTTCTGTGTCTATCTCTCTCTTAAAATGACATAACTTATGTCATTTAAAATGACAAACATCAAACCCTTATAGAAAAGCTATTCCGCAAAATAAATTATCTTACAATAACCAACACCCCCAAAAAAAAATCTTATTATAATTTATTTTTTTCGTAAACAATCTTATTTATAATTTTTAACACACAAGAATAATTTGTATGCAAATAATTACATATTTATATTTTTGTAATCTTATTATCATGGATGAATTTTTGAGAAAAAAGATAAAAATTATTTACATTTGAAAATGTAAAGTTTGAGAACTACATTTTTCCTGTTTGAATTAAACTTTTGGGTTTAAAATACTTTAGATGATTTTATGGGTTCATTTTTTCTAAAGTTACTTTAGATAATTCTGTATAATGTTCACCGAAACAATATCGTTTATGGGTAAAAAATTTGGTGTGTTTGTAATTTTAATTTATTTCAGGGTTATAATAGTTTTTATCATTCTAATTTTTTAATTTTTCAACCCAAAACGACATTGTTTTGGTAAACATAGACAAAATTGTCTAAAATAACATTAGATACTTTTTTTCTCAAATTTTATCTAATGTTTATCAAAATACACACAAAAAGGTATGTGTATCCATGTGGACCCGTGTGAATATAAAAAAGAAAAAGAAAAATATGGGTCATGCATATTTTTATATGTATATTTTGGCAAATATTAGATAAAGTATGTAAAGTAACTTTAGAAACTTCAAGCCCTAAAAAAATTTTGATGTTGGAAAAATGATCTTTTACAAAACCACAATATAACAAAATTTTATTTTTTTCATAAGATAAAAATTATAAGTGATTTTGAAAAGGGAAAAATATTTGTCTTTTAAAAGATATAACTATTTTAGATCATAATCATTGATTTTCGTCAATCAACAGTTAGAATTTATTAGGTCAAACTTATTAATTAATTAATAATTCACAATACAACTCAATAAATTCTAACCGTTAATGGGCGGAATTCAATAATTAGGATATAAAAGGACACAATATTAATCCTTTAGGGGGTGTTTGGTACACGGTATTCTTTAGGATTCTTGGGAAACTGAATTTTTCTAAATTTTTAATTTTCGGATATTATCGTAAACTGAATGTAAAAATCATATTTTTAAAAATTAAGATTTTCGGATAAATTTTTTTTTTTTCCTCTACGCAACGCCCTCTTAAAACTAAAGTTTTTTCCTTTTAAAAATTAGTAATTGTCAATGTGATGAGTAAGACAAAGAGGAAATGTGGGAGAAAAAATTAGGATTATATGAGATAATTATTGACCGTTGGATTTAATTCTGATCCGATGATGATGATATTGGTGGTAAGGGTGATAAACTTACCTGATCATGTCAAAAAAAAAAAAAAAAAAAAAAAAAAAACAGATCTCTAGTTGTTTGGTAAATTTGGGTTTTGGGTTTGTAGGCGAACGAGTGTCTCTTGCTGCTGCGTTTGGGTTTTCTCTGTACTCAGTGCAACACACCCAACACAATCGCTATCTCTGGTATGATTCTCCTCTTTCTTCCCAATACTTCAACCGTTCTTTTCTCTCCGATTCCTTAATTCGTTGAAACCCTCTTTCTTTTTTGCTTGGAAAATCATTTTCACTCCCCCCCCTCCATATACTCAACTAAGTAAACCCTAATTCATTATTACCGAAAAAGTTTTGGGTTTTCCCATGTATCATCAACTATGAACTCGTGCGAGTTGTTTGGTTCAGATTTCCCTGTAATTGATCTTGTGTTCACTTCTGCTGGATTTGTATGCATTAATATGAGGGTTTGATATTTGACTTTTAACTTGAGACTTTTCTTCTAACATCCAAGTTTCTCTCACCTGTGGTCTGCATTCTCTCAAATAGAGTGGCAGCGACTATTGTTTTTGTGATATATATTGCTTTTAAATGTTTACTACCTTAAATGGAGTTAGGTTGCTTGTTTGGAATTGGATTGCTATTGTTTTTTCAGTGTTTTCTCAACATTGATAGATTTTTCAATGAAGTTGTGTCTTTTTTTACTTGTGCTCTGGATTTTGTGAATTATATTATTTTGTGTGCTATCAGAACCTGTGTATAACTTTTATTTTGCTCCAGAGACACCATTTGGCAGTTAATATAACCATCATTATGTGCTGTTATTTAGAACTATCTGCTTTGGAAGCCCCTAATTGCCAATAATGGGGAAATCTTTCATTTGGATGTGAGATGCACTATCGATTGTTCTATTTGATACATCATTTCTGCTGAAGAGCAGCACTTTACTATTTGATATGTGTGTGTGCACGCATTAATACACTGGAAATTTCTCTTTTTGGGTATTACTTTGAGGTGCAAGTTTGCTTAAAATGAAATGCTGAGTAGTGATTCAGAACTTGCCTTTCTTTAATACTTGTTGCTTCTTTTTCTGCATTATGTATAGGTTGGTGTGTGTCCAAGATGGTTTTTTCTTGAATGTTCATGTAGTAGTTAGTGGATAGTTCCATGATTTCTATGATATTTTATCTTTTTGCTTTGTCAGTTGTTGATTCATTATTTTCTCTTTTTCATTTGTTTTGGAGAGTATTGGTGGGGGCTGGGGGGCATAAAGAGGTTATAATTTCCTGATGCTATTATTAATGGGTATGGTAGATGAAGGCCTACAGAATTAAGTTAAATGTCCATAGTGTCTGTAGTCTTTTTGAAATCTTACTGCTAATTCTTCTGGTTCTTTTTCAGTGTTGGAGACTTGAGCTTATAGGAATTGACATTTGCTTAATTTCAATTCTAAATTAAGGTCAACATGCAACTTTTTCCTGCTGAAGGTGAAAATGCTTTGTCAGTTGTTGGTCCAAGACCAATGGAATGGTCTACTGTTCCATATAGTGCTCCTTATGGTCCCAGGCCAAATGGAAAGCAGCGGACGTCAAGTCTGGAATCACCAATCATGTTACTGACGGGTCACCAGAGTGTTATATATACGATGAAGTTCAATCCAGCAGGATCAATTGTTGCATCAGGATCTCATGACAGAGAAATTTTCCTCTGGAATGTGTGGGGAGATTGCAAGAACTTCATGGTTCTAAAAGGTCACAAGAATGCAGTTTTAGATCTTCACTGGACTACAGATGGGACACAGATAGTCTCTGCCAGCCCTGACAAAACATTGAGGGCATGGGATGTGGAAACCGGAAAACAAATCAAAAAGATGGTAGAGCATCTGTCATATGTTAATTCATGTTGTCCTTCTCGGAGGGGGCCACCTCTTGTTGTCAGTGGCTCTGATGATGGAACTGCTAAATTATGGGATATGCGTCAAAGGGGTTCCATCCAAACATTCCCAGATAAATACCAGATTACGGCGGTTGGCTTCTCTGATGCATCTGATAAGATCTTCACTGGTGGCATTGATAATGAAATCAAGATATGGGATTTGCGTAAAGGTGAAGTTGTCATGACACTTCAAGGTCATCAAGATATGATTACTGGCATGCAATTGAGCCCTGATGGTTCCTACCTTCTTACAAATGGCATGGATTGCAAGCTTTGCATTTGGGATATGCGCCCATATGCTCCACAAAATCGCTGTGTGAAGGTGTTGGAAGGGCACCAGCACAACTTTGAAAAGAACTTGTTGAAATGTAGTTGGTCACCTGATGGAAGCAAGGTCACAGCTGGGAGTTCTGATCGAATGGTTTACATCTGGGACACCACTTCTCGACGCATCTTGTATAAGCTTCCCGGCCACAATGGATCTGTTAATGAGAGTGCTTTTCATCCCGAGGAACCTATTATTGGGTCTTGCAGTAGTGACAAGCAGATTTATCTGGGGGAGATATGAAGCATAAACGTTTACAAACTTGCCATTAGGATGTGATAGACTTTAAAAATGCTGTATTCATTATGTTATTTCCTGGTGGATCAACTCAGTGAGTGACTATTATTTTCAGGGGAAAACGTTTTTGTCTCCTGCTTTGGTTACTAATTAATGTGGTTTGGGTTTTGACATTGGTGAAAATGGTTCCATCTGATCCTTTCGGTGTGATCATTTCCTACCCTCTTTCTTTGTAGCCACCTTCACCAATTCTCTTCTTTATTCTTTTTTGTCCTCAACTTCTATTTCTACAATTGTCTTCCCGTATTTATTATTCTCATCAGCAACGTTGTCATATATCAACTTCACAGATGATAGAGACAAATAAGAGAAATGAATCGAATCTTAATTATTTAAACATTTTCTATTTCATTGAAACCTTTTCCCTTGTAAACTTCAAATTTTGCTAACTTGCCATGACTTTTTTTATTGTATTATTATTATTATATGTAGGAATATCATTTAAATTTGGATTGAAAATCCAAATGTTAACAATAATTCAGCTGGATAGATACCACTATTTACACGTAATATTGAAAATTAATTTATAATTTCTAGACAAAATTCTTGTTGGCTTATATCCGTTAAATACAATAAACATAATTTATTTACTTAACCTGCTAGATATGTTTTTAGAGTAAAATTTGTCGTAAAGTTAACGTAAACATAACAAATTGAAATTAAAAAATACAAGGATTCGTATCCTTTTAATAACAAGATATGACTGTCGGTGAGAGAAAAATATAGGATCCATTTGTTATATAAAAAAAAAAAATTATGTTATCAAAAAAAAAAAATTATGTATTTTTCTCTCCATCAACACCATATCTTATTATTCAAAGATAAGAGGAAATTAAAATTTAAAAAGTACCCAACATTTACATTTTAGGCATTACCTTTGGAATATTTATACTTAAGATAAACATTATGTCCATTTATTTTTCTTTAAAAAAATAGTTGACATAGGTTTTTTTTTTTTTTGTCGTGTAAAAACTCAAATGTAACGTGTGCTAGTAAATTTTAAAATAAGAATAAAATTTTATTTTGGTCATTGACATTGTTTTCATTTTCACTTTAATTTTTAATATTTTATTTTTTTCACTTTTGAGTAATCTCAAGGGTATTCTCACCCCCTTCGGGAGTGAGACTAATCCCAGTCGGGAATCGATCAGACCCTTTCGGAGGTGGCCCTACCCAATCCGTTTTTTCCATACCCAGAGCTCGAACTCGAGACCACTAGTCAAGGGAACACAGACTCCTTTCATCTATGCCAACGGGTTTGGGTTATTTTTTCCACTTTAATCTTTGACATTTATGTACTTAGAATTAGCTTAGAATCATGCATGTATGTGTAGATTATTTTGGAATTTAGACGTTTTTTTATTTTAATATTTCTTTAATTTTTGTGTTTAATGTTGATTGATTTGTAATCAACTCTAATTATTTTTATATACTTTCCTTATTTTTAGGATTTGAAATTTTGAATTGATTTATAATTGATCTATAAAAGGGTGTTTAAGACCCTTACCATATGAGTTGGATATTTTGTCATTTTGATAATCATAATTAAGAACATGAGAGTTTCTTTTTCTTTATCTAGACCCAACTTTCTGTTTAACTATTTGTCTATGCATTTTTGGCCAGTTATGGGTAAGGAGGGATTCAAACTCGACACTGTGGTTCATAGCCACGTGCTCTAATCCTCTAAGCTACATGCTCACCCCGCCTCCACTGGATATATTCCCCGGAGTACCCTAAGAAAGGGAAACCTTTCCTCTCCCCAGCCATTTCATTTCGGCTTAAGGAGATGTGAAAGTGCCCCTCTCTATAAGAACGATGTGTTCCAAGGTGTGAAGTGGGAGAAAAAGGATTTCATAATAGGGGTTTTGAATAAGACAACCTTTTCATGTTTCATTCTTATTCATTATTCGACATCATTTGGTGTCCGAGCACTAGGTTACCTTCAACCAATGGCTGAACAAAATCGTGGATAGCCGAGTCGTAAAGATAAAGGACATGGATTCATTTGTGATGAAGACGAACAACCACATCAGATAGCCCCGCAATGCATAGAATATGAAGAGCTCAAAAGACAATTCCAGGATTCAAAGCGACGACTAGTGCATGCACAAAGCTTGAGAATCCAAGATTTAGAGCAACGACCTGTGCAAACAAAGTTGGATGTTCAATCAGAAGAAGGAATATAATCGAAGGAGGTATATGGTAATGAAGATGGGGACGTCAATCATTTAGGAATTCTAAACCAAGGGTGAAATTAGGAAGTACAACATGAAAATGAGTCCATTTTTCAATATCGAGAGATAACGATTGAGACTCCTCACACTTCAGTTTATGATGATAGTCCCATATATGATGACTCTGATGGAGAACAAGATTGGGGCGATAATCCAATCTATGATGATTATGATGAAGAACGAGATTGTAACAATGATCCAATCTATGATGATTCCGATGGAGAGCAAGATAATGATGGTGATCCGTACTTTAATGGAAAATAAGAGGGTGGAGAGTACACTTTTATCGTTTTTGATGAGTTGCAAATGACCTGAATGTTGAAACCTAGCAATGTATTCGTGATTCTAGATGTTCCCAAAGCTTATGGCCATGTTAGTGATTGAATCATCGATAGCGACTCGGCAAGTGCACCGGTCGTAAAGTAATAAAATGTACTGAGTACGAGATCGTTCCCACGAGGATCAGAATTTCAAGCATTAGTTCGCTAATTGCGTTTTAGTTGGACAATCAAAGGTTTGGTTTGAGAGAATTTAGATGAAGAGAATTGTGGTTCAAAGAACTTAAAAGTAAAAACAAGTAGAATCATGCAATTATGAAAATTCAGAATTAAAAGAATGAATGAAGATGATGTTTGATTAAGATTTAAAACAAGCGTAGTTAAGGTTTCGACTTCCCCCTATATCCTCAATATGTTATGAATTAAATAGTCAAGAATCCGTTTCTTAATATATTGCCAATCAATTCTATCTGAGTTAATTACGGCTCAATTCCTTGTTACCATAAATCTATGTAATCTTGAAAGAACTCCAGTTCCCCGATTATTCCCCAAGAAAACATGCGTTAAGATCAAGAATTACAAGATTGCATAATTACCCTATGTCTATTCCTATTCATATTCCTAGATCACAAGGATTATGATAAATTATCAAGTCAAGGTTCATGCACCAACATCCATATTGTCATACAATTCCCCAAAATCATTTTATAAGGAACAAACTCATAGAAAGCATTAAAAACAGATAATTTATTCAATTATAAAAAGAACAGGATTCAGAGACAATTTAATTCATAAACATAAAGATTCAATTGGGTTCCATCTACCCTTAACTACATAAAAGACTACACTAGCATACTGAATTGAAAAATAACAATAAAGAAAAGAGAACCCCAAGCCTCCATTGGTGTGGTGTTGACTTGGTTCCTAAGTGTTCCAGCGCTCCGCAACAAAATTTCTCCTTCAGGTCTTGGTGTAATGCTCTGGACTTGGTTGGTCTTGACCTCAAGCTCTTTATTTATAATCTTCAAAGCTACAACCTTCATCGTATCTTCCCATGAATCCATATCAGATTTGTAATTGATTCCTCAATTGTTTCCTTTTTTGCAATTAATATCTTGTGGATTGGTTGAGAGATTTGAGCTTTGAATCTTGTTATAATCTTCCTTCAATCTTCTCAGGAATCAGCTTTGATATGTTTCCGCTTTAGTTCCATATCCTACTTGGACAAATCTTCATTAAATCTCAGCAAATCTTGGTGCACCTTTGCGTCTGTGTGGGCGCTCGAGCGTGCTCCTCGAGTCCGAAATTATGTCTTCTTGGGCGCTTGAGCGTGCATCTGTGCGCTGAAGCGCCCGGATGTGCCCAGTTTGGCCTTTTTTCCTGCTTCCAAACGCTCGAGCGTCCTCTTGTGCGTTCAAACGTGCTTTCCTGGACCTTGAATTGCAATATGTTGCTTTCTTTTGATCCATATTGAGCCGTTATTTCTTTGTCATGATTTCTTTAGCACTTTTAGCACCAATTCTTGTGGTTTTACCTTAAAAATGCAATTATTATCAAAACGTCAGCTCAATTTCCTATCTTATGACTTAAATGTATTAAAACCTTGAATTCCATGCATTCTACTACATAATTCTTGTATAATTTAGCCTAAAAACATGGTAAACCAAAGGTTTATCAATCACCAAATGTGTTAGAGTTGAGGATGCACACAAAAGTTTGATAAGACGGCAATGAAAGACTTGATGACTCTTAATACTGTTGTTTTGGGGCACACTCAGGTCTTTGCAAATGAGGCATTAAATTCCTCATTTAATTTGGAGCAATATAATCTTAAGAACATTAATATGGGCTCAAATGTGGTAACTTGGAACATTTTAATATATGAGTTTTCACATAGGGATGAACATACAATAATGGTCTTTGTGATCTCCAAGTTGATGATTGCAGATGGTGTTATGTCTGATGTGTTATCGTGGACTTTTGTTATATTTGGTATTCTGCGGAATATCTAAAATAAGGAAATATTTGATACGTTAAGCAAATGTTGTGTCATAAGCTCTACCCACCTTTAACTACCATAAATGATTCTGCAAATTTGCAATTGAATAAGAAATATATATGAAGAAATATACTTAGAGATAAAGGGGTTGCACTATATTCTTTTGTGTTTGCTTGTTCTTTAAAATGGTCCAATCAAAAACATAATCAAAGTCATAACCTGAAACATATTAAGCAAGTCAAAATAGAGTGAGAAAAAAATTACATTTGGTTGAAGTGATGGAAAAAATATATTGCAAAATTTACTTATTTTATAATAGGGATAGGTTATTCTGTCTACTATTATTTTGCCTACCCTTTCAATACCGTTAGATTACAATCTTATCTAATGGTGGAGATTTACCATATAAAATAAACTCTTTTACTCATTTTTCTTTTTTACTGCCTTTTATTCTTTCTCTCTCCTCTCCTTTCTCTTTCTTTAATGACGCTTCAGCATCAAACAAAGGTGCAAGCTTTTTTCTCAATTCATCCAACTCAGCCATTGTTATGAGCATTTACATAAAAAATTGAAAAAAGATGTCAAGAAGAAACAAACTCAAATGACCTATGTTATGGGATCAAATATGCATATTGTTGGGCGTAACATATAGAGAACAAATATCATTTCCCCACTTCAAGGTGAAAAATAAGATAAGAAAAAGAAGGAGATAAGTTGATTCGATTTCAAATTTCAACAACAAAATAGAAACGTTATGGTAATC